ACCACTACCACCTGCATCACTACCACCTACAAAACTACCACCTACAACACTACCACCTACACCAGTGCCACCTGCACCACTACCACCTGCACCACTACCACCTACAACACTGCCACCTACACCACTACCACCTCCGCTACTACTACCTGCACCACTACCACCTGCACTACTACCACCTACACCACTACCACCTACACCACTGCCACCTACACCACTACCACCTGCACCACTAGCACCTGCACCACTACCACTGACACCACTACCACCTGCATCAATAGCACCTGCACCACTGTCACCTACACCACTACCACCTACACCACTACCACCTACACCACTACCACCTACGCCTTTGTTTCAAAGTGGGACATATATAGAGTACAGACATCTGTAGTACCTAGCCAGTTTTGAGTTCACAACAGGTCGTCAGAATATATCCTAGCCCAGTTATTCTTCAAATAGTCTCCTGGATGACCTATACCCAACTACGTATACGTTGAGATCTTTAATAACAAAGGTGTCTAGGTGGTAATAACTTCAATTAGTTTAACTTGAATATTTAATGAGATGAAACCCTACTCATATCTTGTAGTATATCTTATTATATTTGTATATATTTATACTGTACTTTTCAAGGGGTGCTATAGGCACTTCTGATAAGCCGTACAATTGAATAAGCTTAATATGTACCATCACGTACGTTGCTATGAGATTCACTCGTTAATGTAAGGGAAATATAAGCATGTATGTGTATATGTGTGTGAGTAAGTCCCCCGTAATACTCGGTATAACTCAGTAAGACTCTACTTAGACTAAATCTGATAACAAGAAGTCCCTAAATAATCTAACTCCGTCCAGGTTGTAAGTCAACTCATTCATTAAGCGATGGATAACGAGGCAGCATTACATAAAGCAAATAGTGTGAAGAGTAAGTTGAACAATCCATCTTGAACCGTGAAAGCAGATATTTCCTGAGCACGCTCAGTAAGCAGGACCTGATTATATCCGTGTAAGAGATCTAAACGGCTGACATGCAACGCTCCTGACATGATCAATAAGGTCATCAATGCATGGTAGCGGGTAGCCGTCTGGTAGGGCAACTCTGTCCACTTTACGATAATCAGTGCACATTCTGAAACTACTGTCAGGTTTGGTACTAGAACGCAAGGTGAAGTCTGTGGACTGTACCGTGTTCGATCAATCCCTGATATAACAGAAAATCAACTTTTCTCAGTGCTTTATGCTTTGTTCGACTCATCCTGTATGGTGATTGCTTAATTGGTGATGCACTCTGTACATAACGCCTTGAATTCCCAGCATTTAGAAACATCACTGAACGAACAAGGGTCCTCCAGTATCATGTGGTTAATATCACTAGTTTTATCACATCAAAGATACTAAGAAAATTATTGAGTGATTGTATTGTCACTGAATTTTCCAAACGCACCTCTGTACCTCTAGAGACTTCAGGCAGACTGACGTGTTCTTCCTGTGTCGTAGGAAGTACAATTACAGTAGGTAGGGGACTAGCATAGTAGTATACCTTGAGCTAGTTAATGTGGTATACCTGATTTCCTCTTATCAGACGTACGTAATAAATAATTTACATCACTAAGCCTTTTGACTACTTCCAGGGGACCATCATACCTGGCTTGTAGAGCATGAACCTTCCAGCTCCATCCTCAAACATCTTACTGCTTGCTGATTGACTACTTCCAGGGGACCATCATACCTGGCTTGTAGAGCATGAACCTTCCAGCTCCATCCTCAAACATCTTACTGCTTGCTGATTGACTACTTCCAGGGGACCATCATACCTGGCTTGTAGAGCATGAACCTTCCAGCTCCATCCTCAAACATCTTACTGCTTGCTGATTTCAACCTAAGGCATACAAAATGGAAGAATGTAGCAAATAATGTTATAGCTGAAACAATCCCCGGAGGTAGCGCAGATGAAAGGTCACACACACATGAGCTACTAAGTCTCTGCAGAAAACACACCTTAAGCCAGCAGATAGTGGAGCCAACAAGACTAGAAAACACACTTGACCTTATCTTCACAAATAATGAGGACCTGATAAGACACATAAGAATATAAAAAACAACTAATTCCGATCACAACCTAATCGAAGGGGTCCTGATCAGCAGAATGCATGTACCTGTGAAGGTGTCTTCACAAAATACAACTTCAACAACAAAAACATCAACTGGGACCAGGTAAACCATGTCCTAAACGAAACATGTTGGGAAGATGTCTTAAATGACATGGATCCAAACCAGTGCCATGAAAGGATCAACTTCCTGGCAGCCGAAGCATGTTCTAGGCATATTCCCCTAAGAAAGAAGAAGAGCAGGAGTAAACTGGAGAGAGAAAGACGCTCCCTCTACAGAAGACAACGAAGAGTCACTGAGCTCCTCAGGATTGCTAGAATATCTGATAACCAAAAGGAGGCGCTGACCAGGGAAGTGGAAACTATCGAACGTAAGTTAAATGACTTTTACAGGAACCAGGAGAGGCAGGAGGAGCTTAAAGCTATTAGTGAAATTGAAAGAAATTCAAAATATTTCTTTTCATATGCAAAAACAAGGCAAAATACCACATCTAGCATCGGGCCCTTACTCAGACAGGATGGGACTTACGCAGATGACAACAAGGAAATGAGTGAAATATTGAAATCCCCGTACGACTCTGTGTTTAGTGAACCACTAATCGGTCTGAGGATCGACGACCCAAATGATTTCTTCATGAATGAGCCTCAAAACTCCATAAATGTATGCCAGATTTCCGACATTACCCTAACTCCGATAGATTTCGAAAAAGCCATTGACAACATGCCTATGCACTCAGCCCCGGGCCCAGACTCGTGGAACTCTGTTTTCATTAAGAACTGCAAGAAACCCCTCTCGCGTGCCCTAAGTACACTATGGAGGAGGAGCTTGGACATGGGTGAAATTCCAGCCACTTAAAACAACGGATATAGCCCCACTCCATAAAGGTGGCAGCAAAGCATTAGCTAAGAACTATAGACCAATAGCTCTGGCGTCCCACATCATAAAAACCTTTGAAAGAGTGCTAAGAAGCAAGATTGCAAATCACTTGGATTCCCAAAATCTGCACAATCCAGGGCAACATGGGTTCAGAGCAGGTCGCTCCTGCCTCTCACAACTACTGGATCACATGGCCTTGGATGCACTGGAAGAAAATCAGAATGCAGATGTAATATACACAGACTTTGCAAAAGCATTTGACAAATGCGATCATGGCGTAATTGCCCATAAAATACGTGCTAAAGGAATAACTGGGAAAGTGAGGAGATGGATCTTCAACTTCCTAACAAATCGAACACAAAGAGTAGTGGTCAACAGAGTTAAATCGGAGGCTGCCATAGTGAAGAGCTCTGTTCCACAAGGCGCAGTACTCGCCCCCATCTTATTCCTTATCCTCATATCAGACACAGACAGAGATATACACCACAGCACCGTATCATCCTTTGCGGATGATACTAGGATCTGCATGAGGCTGTCATCTGCTGAGGATGCGGTTAACCTCCAAGAAGATATAAACAAAGTTTTCCAGTGGGCAACGGTAAACAATATGATATTCAATGAGGACAAATTCCAACTACTCCGTTATGGAAAACTGGAGGAGATAATAACTAGAACAGAGTATACTACTGACTCCGGCCGTACAATAGAGCGGAAAAATAATGTAAGGGACCTGGGAGTAGTAATGTCTGAGGATCTCACTTTCAAGGATCACAACAGTGCCAGGATCGCACGTGCAAAGAAAATGATAGGATGGATAATTAGAACTTTCAAAACGAGAGATGCCAAGCCAATGATGATCCTTTTCAAATCACTTGTTCTCTCTAGGCTGGAATACTGCTGTACATTAACATCTCCATTCAAAGCAGGTGAAATCGCCAGATCTAGAGAGTGTACAGAGATCCTTTACTGCACGTATAAGTTCTGTCAAGCACCTTAACTACTGGGAACGCTTGGAAGCACTTGACTTGTACTCGTTGGAACGCAGGAGGGAGAGATATATCATAATCTACACTTGGAAAATCTTGGAAGGAATGATCCCAAATCTGCACACAGAAATCACTCCCTACGAAAGTAAAAGACTGGGCAGGCGATGCAAAATGCCCCAATAAAAAGTAGGGGCGCCATTGGTACACTAAGGGAAAACACCATAAGTGTCCGGGGCCCAAAACTGTTCAACAGCCTCCCATCAAGCATTAGGGGAATTGCCAATAAGCCCCTGGCTGCCTTGAAGAGAGAGCTGGACAGATACCTAAAGTCAGTGCCGGATCAGCCGGGCTGTGGCTCTTACGTTGGACTGCGTGTGGCCAGAAGTAACAGCCTAGTTGATCAGGCCCTGATCCATCGGGAGGCCTGGTCATGGACCGGGCCGCGGGGGCGTTGATCCCGGGAATAACCTCCAGGTAACCTCCAGGTAACCTGGTACTGATTTCTGAGCCATAGCCTTAATACCTGCCTTATAGGAACGAGAGATAGCATATTTGTCATACAAACCATACCACGGGCGGGACTGAACCCGCGGTCAGAGAGTCTCAAAACTTCAGACCGTCGCGTTAGCCACTGGACCAGCTAGCCACAATAAGATTCGTCCAACTAGGTATATTTCTACACCATAGGAAGGTTAGCGCAGGCACCACTGTGACCACAAATGCAAGTTTTTACAGACGAATCTCCAGCTAGCGTGGCCGTGACGAACTCTAGCTCAAGTCCCCTCAATGCCGTCAACATGACTCATGAAATCGTAATGACACGATTGCGAACAAACCATACCATGGGCGGGATTGAACCCGCTGGTTCAATCCGCCCGTGGTATGGTTTGTTTGCAATCGTGTCATTACGATTTCGTGAGTCATGTTTGTCATACTGTTGTCTCATCCTCACGTGGTCAGCAACTAGGTTTTTTGACGCCAGTTATCTGGCAGCTTTCAAATGCTTCTGTTTTAATGAGGGTGACGTACTCAGCGGTGGATCTGACTTTCCTGTCCGAACGTCTTTCAACACAGTGAGAGGACTACTCGCCTGGTGTACGAATATGAACTCAAATGGACTAAAACCGGGGTTTTCCTGTCCACTTTTCCTCATAGCGAACAGAAAAATGTCTAGAAAAATGTCTTTACCAAATGTCTTTAGAAACATGTTCACAGTAAGCTCTCATCACAGACTTCAACGTCTGATGAAATCTCTAGAGCACCTTGCGATTGTGGGCGATAACTGGCTGAAAGTAAAGACTATTCTTAGGTGAAATAATGCCTCACGAAAGATTTTGGAAGTAAAGTTGGATCCCTGTTGCATACAAAAAGTATGTAACCTTTATTCGGAGTATGTGAACACACTCACGAAAGGTTACCTCCCCAACCAGTGAACCAGGTAACTATGGGTCGGACAATCGTGACCCCATTGTCAGATCAGTTCCTAGGTTCAGCCAATCATATTGTGGATCTGGCAATTGTGAAGGTGATGTGGATACCACTCACATTCTCACCCTTGTCATTTTCACCCAGCAGCTGGTTGAACACGGTTGTCCATTCTGTCTCCAGGCTGTGTCTTTGTCTCTTGATTTACTGTGTTGTACCCATATATTTCCAACTGTATATAGTGTACATACTTGTAAATACTTATAATCGTACTTGGTGAAGGAAAATATAATTCAAAGTTGTAATAATCCCTGATCCAACTGAATCTTTCGTGGTAGTCCAATCGATGAAAAAATTCATTAATGCTCTCACAGTAAGACTTGCATTAATTTTTTTTCCTATGAATACCTCCGGGACAGTGTGTCGCTGCGTCCATAGAAGTAAACAAGACTTGGTTTCCTGGTAGAGGAGAAACATAATGTATTACGAGGCATGAGAAATGTTTACCATTATCGATGACAGGAATGAGAGAAGCAGGTGGGGGGCGGGGTTACAGGGTTGCCTATCATTTGACAGACATGGCAACGCCAGCTTAACTAACACCCAAATGTCCTCCTAGAGGACTACTGTGAGCAAAATCATAACTTGCTCACGAAATGTTTCTGGTCGTAGTCGTGGACCGGGCAGCAGGGGCGTTGATCCCCGGAATGCCATCCAGGTAGCCTCCAGGATGCTTCACTGTGCTGGTAACACTCTCAGGCTGACAGTGTCAGTTGTTAACTTACAAGTACTTTTTTCCTTAAATACACTATATGATAATAGTAACAGTTATCGAGATTTTTAGCTGTCAGTTACTGCTATATCTCAGTCTCCCCGGAGACCGCTCAACAAACTGATCCTTGATCAAATCCTCATGCGTCAGGTTATTTTCATAAGGTAGAGCTAAACCCGTAGGGATTATACAGCCCCTGTGGGGGGGTGGGGGATACTGAAAACATTCATGGTCAGTTCGGGGAACTGGAGCACAGATCAAGAGCCCCTCACCAGCGTCAAGGAACCTCCCTTGGGGGAGTCATGCGTTAGAGCTTTAATGTCAGTTGTGCCCTGACTAGGCTCACGGACGGGACGGGGGAGACAGTGTTAATGATCCTGGACGCAGTACATTGCTGAACAACATAGACCCAAGTCATTATCAACTAACTCAACATATGACAAAGAGTAACATCACTGAGAGGAAATAAAGTTAACTTCTCTCTACAGGCTTCAGTGGCATAATTATCATCAGTAGTATTATAAGATAAAATTTTCTTTAGATTTTAACCCTCAGGGGTTAAAAATCCGAAGAAAGTCAGTGCGTCATCGAGGACTGTCTGTCTTATTTCTATTGGGGTCCTCAATCTTGTCCCCCAGGATGCGACCCACACCAGTCGACTAACACCCAGGTACCTATTTGCTGCTAGGTGAACATGACAATATGTGTAAGGAAACATGTATCACCAGTAACCCATCTTCGTTTTCTACGGGTAATAAATTAACTGTGCCAGTCAGTATATCAACCATTCTTGCAGTATCTTATAAGACGGCAACATAAGTGGATATTTTGTCATTGTTTTAAACTGAATAAAGTTCCACAGTGGGAACAGAAGCCAGCTGTTTCCCTGTCGTATTGCACTGCGCAGGATGGAGTTCATACGAGGTACAAAAGTACGTCAGTCTGGGCTGGAAGACTTCAGTAGACGATGAAGATATCGTCAAGTATTCCAGGAAGGTAAAGATTGAGACACTTATGCAACATATGGGAATCTTTATTCAGGTAAAGTTTCGCCACGCAGTGGCATCATCAGTCCAATACAAAGCAGAAAGGTATAAGGAGAGGAGGAGTTTAGGGTAATCAGTCCCACAACAAAGATACCCAGATGTTGCACATGTCTAAATTTTTATAACAGTCTCTACCACAATCATCGTGTTTATACCTTGGACTGGGGACAGGAGAGTCACATATCAACTGTCCTTCCCTCACTATAATTTACGTAAAAAACAAAGTTCCAGGGTTTTTAAGCACTTGGCTACTGCGGCCCCCTCACTGGAGTGGGGAAAACAGAATGTTACATTCTACAAGTTTGATGGACTGAACACATTGACTCCAGGCTGAGGGACTGATTACCTCAAACTCCTCCTCTCCTTAAACCTTCTGCTTTGTATTGGACTGATGAAGCCATTGTGGGGTGAAACGTTTCCTGAATAAAGATTCCCATATGTTGCATAAGTGTCTCAATCTTCAGTTCTGGTTACTGGAGTCGGGAGCATTTTCTTGGGTTACTGGAGTCCAGAGCAATTTTTGGGGGTTACTGGAGTCAGCGGGCGCAGTTCTGGGGTTACTGGAATCGGGAACAGTTCCTGGGTTACTGGAGTCGGGAGCAGTTCTGGGGTTACTGGAGTCGGGAGCAGTTCTGGGGTTACTGGAGTCGGGAGCAGTTCTGGGGTTTACTGGACTCGGGAGCATTCTGGGGTTACTGAAATGGGGAGCAATTTTCTTGGGTTACTGGAGTCAGGAGCAGTTCTGGGTTACGGGAAAGTCGGGAGCAGTTCTGGGGTTACTGGACTCGGGAGCAGTTCTGGGGTTACTGAAGTCGGGAGCAGTTCTTGGGTTACTGGAGTCAGGAGCAGTTCTGAGGTTACTGGAGTCGGGAGCAGTTCTGGGGTTACTGGAGTCCAGAGCAGGTCTTGGGTTACTGGAGTCAAGAGCACAGTTCTTGGGTTACTGGAGTCGGGAGCCGTTCTAGGGTTACTGGAGTCCAGAGCAGTTCTTGAGTTACTGGAGTCGGGAGCCGTCCTTGGGTTACGGGAGTCGGGAGCAGTTCTTCGGGTTAGTGCAGTCGGGAGCAATTCTTGGGTTATTGGAGTCAGCAGCAATTCTTGGGTTACAGGAGTCGGGAGCAGTTTTTGGGTTACTGGAGTCGGAGCAGTTCTTGTGTTACTGTAGTCGGGAGCAATTCTTGGGTTACTGGAGTCGGGAGCAGTTCTTGGGTTACTGGGGTCGGGAGCAGTTCTTGGGTTACTGGAGTCGGGAGCAGTTCTGGGATTACTGGAGTCGGGAGAAGTTCTGGTGGTTACTGGAGTCGGGAGCAGTTCTTGGGTTACTGGAGTATGGAGCGCAGTTCTTGGGTTACTGGAGTCGGGAGCAGTTCTTGGGCTACTGGAGTCGGGACCGCAGTTCCTGGGTTACTGGAGTCGGGAGCAGTTCTTGGGTTACTGGAGTCGGGATCAATTCTTGGGTTACTGGAGTCGGGAGCAGTTCTTGGGTTACTGAAGTCGGGAACAGTTCTTGGGCTACTGGAGTCGGGAGCAGTTCTAGGGTTACTGGAGTCGAGAGCAGTTCTGAGGGTTGCTGGAGTCTGGGGAGCAGTTCTGGGGGTTAGTGGAGTCAGGAGAGCAGTTCCGGGGGTTACTGTTGTCTTGGGAGCAGTTCTGGGGGTTAATGGAGTCGGAGGAGAAAGTTCTGGGGGGTTATTGGAGTCGGGGGAGCAGTTATTCGGGTTAGTGGAGTCGGGGGAGCAGTTCCGGAGGTTACTTGAGTCGGGGAAACAGTTCTGGGGTTTACGGGAGTCGGGGGAGCAGTTCTAGAGCTACTGGAGTCGAGGAGAAGTTCTGTGGGTTAATGGAGTCGGGGGGAGCATTCTGGGGGTTACTGGAGTCGGGAGAGCAGTTCTGGCGGTTACGGGAAATCGGCAGAGCAGTTATGGGGGTTAGTGGAGTTGGGAGCAGTTCTGGGGGTTACTGGAGTCGGGGGAGCAGTTCTGGGGCTAGTGGAGTCGTAGCTTTTTCCAGGGGTTACTGGAGCCGGGGGAGTAGTTCTGGGGATTACTGGAGTCGGGGAGCAGTTCTCGGGGTTACTGGAGTCGGGGGAGCAGCTCTGGGGGTTATTGGAGTCGGGGGAGCAGTTCTGGGGATTACTGGAGTCGGAGGAGCAGTTCTGGGGGTTACTGGAGTCGGGGGAGCAGTTCTGTGGGTGATGTCCTGCGCTGGCGTCAGGACATCACCCGAGTCTAACGTAGCTGCCCGTTTCCTTGTTACAATCATGGCCCCCATAACATGGTCTGGGGAAGCCTCACGGTGAACCTCAACATCCACCTTACAATGATTTATTAATTCCACTGACTCCACAGTCACATCATTCGGGAGAGCAGTTCTGGCGGTTACTGGAGTCGGGAGAGCAGTTCTGGCGGTTACTAGAGTCGGGGGAGCAGTTCTGGGGGTTACTGATGTCAGGGGAGCAGTTCTGTGGGTTATTGGAGTCGAGGGAGCAGTTCTGGGGGTTACTGGAGTCGGGGGAGCAGTTCTGCGGGTTACTGGAGTCGGGGAGCAGTTCTGAGGGATAATGGAGTCGGGGGAGCAGTTCTGGGATTATTAGAAGCGGGGAAGCAGTTTCTGGGGGTTGCTGGAAGCTGGGGAGGATTCTGGGGTTACTAAAAGCAAGGGAGCAGTTCTGTGGGGTTTTTGGGTAGAGGGAGCAGTTCTGGGGGTTATTGGAGTCGGGGGAGCAGTTCGTCGGGTTAGTGGAGCCGGGGGGGGCAGTTCTGGAGGTTACTTGAGTCGGGGAAACAGTTCTGGGGCTTTCTGGAGTCGAGGAGAAGTTCGTGGGTTTTAAAGGAGTCGGGGGAGCAGTTCTCGGGGTACTGGAGTCGGGGGGGCAGTTCTGGGGGTTATTGGAGTCGGGGGAGCAGTTCT